CCACTGGCCAAGACAGGACAATCTGAACCAGCAAGGCCACTAATTATACTGGATTGAAACACATCAAATATGTTTAAATGTATCAGATCATAACGATACTTCCACAAAACAAAAATTGTTGTTCGCCTTTGGAAGATGCTGGGGAACCAATTCATTATTTTGAAAACTGGTAAGGAAAGAGAAAACCACATATATATCCTAGCTTTCCTTTATGAACTGTTTTCAGTTATCTGGATAACGAAATAGTTGATGAAGTAAATCTTTATTTATGGACATATTCTAGCTAATGAATAAACAAGAAATTTAAAAAACAGAACATCATTAATGATGTTAACAACTCAAAGAAAAATCAGACATTATGGGGCCCAGCCCCGTGATGCAGCGGTTAAGTTCTCATGTTCCGCTTCTCGGTGGCCTGGGGTTCACCGGTTCGGATCCCGGGTGTGGACATGGCACTGCTTGGCACGCCATGCTGTGGTAGGCGTCCCACATATAAATTAGAAGATGGGCACGGATGTTAGCTCGGGGCCAGGTTTCCTCAGTAAAAAAGAGGAGGACTGGCAGTAGTTAGCTCAGGGCTAATCTTCCTCAAAAAAAAGAAAAAGAAAAAGAAAAAGAAAAATCAGACATTATGTACCTCCTGATGAAAGCCTCAACAACATTTATGAAACAACGTACCAAAAAGCTGAACCTGAAAAGTGACCTAGCCCCTAGCTATGACTACCAACTTAGAGCAAACACAGAAGAAAGAAGAACATGTTAAATGACACCATGGTTATGCAATTAACAAGGACTAGACTCTGGAAAACTAAGGGGCAAACAACTCAGGTTTTTCTATTACAATATGCAAGAAAAAAAACAAAGAGATATGGCGAAGAAACCAATAAAGACAGACTTGGAAGACACATTCACCAATTGCAATGTGTGGTCTTTATGTGCATCTTCAGTGAAACAATAAATGTAAAATAAATAAAGAGACAACCAAGGAAATTTAATTATAGGATATTTGATGATATAAAGGAATTAACTTTTCTGTGTGTGATAATGGTATTGCGGTTATACTTGCAAAAAAGAATGATTATCTTTTAGAGATATATATTGCAATATTTATAGATAAACTGATATGTCTGGGGTTTGCCTCAAAATAATCTCAGGCAAAGGGGGAAAGTGTGTGGAGATGAGACAAGATGGGCCATGAGTTGAAAATTTTTGACAGTGGGTGACAGGCAAATGAAGGTTCATTATACTATTCTCTCTACTTTTGTAGAGAGCATACAGTAGGTCTTAAAAGTCCAAAAAAAAAAAGTTAAAAAAAAACCCCATATATGCTATAGTAAAGAGCATCCCAGAAACTGACCAGCTTGTGGCTACCTGGTTGGAAACCAAAGTGGAGGACCCTGGCCCTAGGAGGTGATCCTGTCCTGTGGCCAAACTGGTTCCAGAGCCAGGACCAAAGCAAGGCTGGGCTCAGCTGTGGATCTGCAAATTCCTGGACAAGTGGGCCAAAGTTCCTGTAGGCTGGGCAGGTCCTTGTGTGATGGCGAGTGTTAGGAGGCTGGAGGGGTGAGTGAGGGGGGGACTTGTTTAGGGTCACAGGGGTTTACGGGAATGAGTAGATGAGGGAACTTCTCTGGGAAGTGACTGGGGCTTCCCTGGCTCTTTATTTGTTTACCGCCTGTCTCCCCTCACTAAGGAGGGCAGGAAGATATGTCTGTTTTATTCATTCACTACTGTATATCCAGTGCCTGGTACACAGTATACTCTAAATACATACATTACGTGAATGCATTCTAATCAGGCCCAACAAAATACATGCTACAACAGCCTTGTAAGTAAACTGTGCTTACAAGTAACATACAGTTTTTTGAATCAAAATAATTTACTAAAAAAAAAATCACTGGTAATGTTACTTTACATTTTTCTTGTCCTTCGTACGTTTTTACACACAGCATCTTATGTAAAAACTCACAAAGCCATTGTACAACGTAATCAGACCAAATATTATTCACCCCAGCAGAACAAAGTCACTACTTCTTTTTCTATATCACTCTGCTGGTAAGATTTATAATTAGTCAAGTTCTACAAACACAGCACATTTTCCAAAAAGGAAATGTATCTTCACAATACAAAATTTCTAATTTACCTTGAAGATGATGTGAGTTTTGTGACTCTGGGTAAGCCACAACATAATTCGACATTAAAAACTGACTTAAGACCAAGAGAAAGTATAGAAATAGTGACTAATAGGATTGTATGCTTAAGAAACAAAAGTGATTCTGGTTCTACTGGCAGAGATCCTGATTTATTCAGAGCTCAAACAAGTTATGCCCCATGGAATCAAATCTTAAACTAGAACAAACTGGAAAGAGAAAAAAATTGCCACAAACAGAAGGCTATTTAAAAGTCCATGAATGCATTTCAAAACATGACTTTGTTTAGGAAATACAAAGTCTCTTTGGGTGTGTCTTACTTCAAAAGAGGTGTTTTAAGAAAATATATTTACTAGTGCCAAACAGTGAAGCTTTCTTTGAATTTCAAATTTAATTTCTTATAGAATCTCACTCCTTTGTGGAATAAGGTATGTAAAATATTTGGTGTTAGAATTCCACTCATATGTTTCAGGCAAATATTTTGCTAAACAGAATATATGATCAGGTTTCAAAGAAACAAAATGAAAAAATAATTTCATAGTCTGTACTACCCAACTCATTTCCCCACAAAATGGCCTCCAAAAGCATCTAATGTTGGAACACTGTACTACCTTTATTAACACACTGATGACACTACTGATCCACTGTCAACAGAGCAGTCGCCAGCCCTGTGGGACAAAGGAAAGAATGGCCTAAAATCCAGAAGCAAGAGGTAAGGGTTCATGGAGTTCTCAATCGAGTCACTGGGACTCAAAGGGAAATAATTTCCAACCAAGTCCAAATATTCATTTTACGCTTGAAAATTAAAAATGAGGCTAATTGGAAAGGTTTTTTCCTCTTTGTTTTAAAGAGAATATCATAAAAATTAACCAAATTTCAAAGATGATGGAGGACCAGAAAGTTACAAAACATCTCTGTTCCGTCTCAGTTTAATCTCAGGTCGTTCTTCTGTGTGACCATTTTCTCTTTTTTAAGACCTCACCACCAACCTTACTGCTCATGCCGCAGAGAGCTTCAAAAAAATAAAAACAAAGGCCTTTTCAATCACAGGACCATTCCCTGGCTCCTGGATGGACACAGAGCTCCCTTGTTCGGATTTCTACGGGAGATTCAGTAGGACAGGCTGGTGTTCAGTCACCCTTACTAAAAGGATGAGTTCTTATGATGCATGTACTTCTCATTTACTCTTCAGAGATGAACACGGCTGGTATAAGAGTTCCCTTCACATGTCACCTGTCAGACACCCATTCTGGAGGCTGAGCTATCACCTGAAAAAGCCTCTCTTACCTCTCCAACCAGAAGAAAGGCTAAAGAAGCCCAGTGGAGAAAGCCTCATCATCTAAGCCCCAGCGCCGAAGCAGCCAAACACCACCATCACCGCTCAGCAAAGCTTGTACAGTGGATTATGATTCAGCTGTAAATTCTCAAACCTGCTCTTAAACACGTGACTGAATGATGGGCCAGACAGCCAAAATTCATGGTAATAACTCTGTCAGGGTAGATTTTGATCCAGGCCAAGAACTAGAATTGGCTCATCCCCACATTCTTCAAAAAACCTTAGTGAAAAGCCCCAAGATATAAGAAATTCATAGACTCAGAGTCACAGAGAGCCATGGCCTTTCACCACAGGAATAGAATTGCTGCTTCCTACCTCATTCGGGCATTAAACAATAGTTTGGCCAACACCAATACTCTCCATAGAAGGTGGCCTTGGGAAACTAGAAAGCTTTCTTCTAGAAAAGAGAACCACTGGTTCAAAACTCTAAAAAGAAATCCCTAAAAGGATACATTTAATGGCATGTGAAATATACTTCAATTAAAAGAAAAAGGAAAAAAAGAAATCGTAAGGCCTTTGAATACCCTGAAGTGGTTTTCTCCATGAACTGATTAATACCGTTTTTTCTGGAGCTTGACTCATTCCATTCTTCAGAGCTGAAACCATCTTTAAAACAGTTCAACTGCAGTTCTGCCATTGCTGATGCTCATGAGGATAAAGAATAGTATTCCAAAAATGTGTTAAGCAGTTACCTTACATATCCCAAATAGTTTTCATTCAATGGTTTATATAAACTATATAATCTTTTCAAGTAGATGCTAATTATCATACTTTGACATAGTGTACAGTGAATTGTTTAAAAAAGTAATCCTTACTGTACTTGATTACAATTCTAACTCAACTTCTGTTCACCAAATAAACAAAAAACTCACAATAAAGAAGGCTTTATTCAAACACATGGATAAAGAGAAGAGATTAGTGGCTACCAGAGGGGAAGGGGGTGGGAGGGTTTGCAAAAGAGGTAAAGGGGCACATATGTACGGTGACGGATAAAAATTAGACAACTGGTGGTGAGCACAATGCAGTCCACACAGAAAGTGATACATAATAATGTACACCTGAAATTACACAATGTTATAAACCAATATGACCTCAATAAAATAACTGGGAAAAAAAAAAGAATGGCTTTACTGGCTTCCTAGTGAGATATTTAAGTGAAATGAGCAGGCCTAAATACTTCACAAGAGAAAAATATAAAGTAGTGCAATGACCATTTCCAGCTGATTATAAGCTTTAAATTTATGCCAAATAAATCACACTTGTAATACCAGAAGAACAAAGCATCTGCACAGTTCTTATGTAAATATACTGAACATACGAAAAGTGTGCTATTTCCAGCTCTAGGACATGATTTCTAGCTGTTACATGAGGGACACGCTCCAATGAAACAAAAGTGTAAAGCTGCACATCAGTCATGCTCCACTGATCTAATTTTCAATCACACACATTACAAATACAAAGAGTAACTGCTTATTATGCCAGGATAAAACTACTTATAAGAGAAACATACTTACAAGAGATAGCAGCAAACTGAACAGGTCACCAACATGGTGATGATAACTCTAAAAAAAAAAAAGAAAAATGCAAACATCATTAGATAACCAGCAAACTACGCAGACATGGTTGAAATCTCCTCCCCATGTTATCAAACTGGCAAGGACGGTGCACCAAGAAAACGGATCTGAATCTGTTCAAACACGGGCAGACTGCAGTGGGCCCCGGGGGCACTAGGTAGAAGTTTAAGAACGTAACTAACATTTGTATTTAAAGGGATGTGTATTGGGGCCAGCGGGGGAGGCGGGGCGAGAGAGTGCATAGTGGTAAAGTTCGTGCACTCCACTTCAGCAGCCCAGGGCTTGTGGGCCCAGTTCCTGGGCGCAGACCTACATACTGCTCATAAAGCCATGCTGCAGCAGCGTCCCACATACAAAATAGAGGAAGACTGGTAACAGATGTTAGCTCAGGGCCAGTCTTCCTCACCAAAAATAAATAAATAAATAAAATAAAGGGATGTGTATTGATGCCACAGGTTAGAGGTCTAATCCAAACCCATCTGAAACTGAACAGAAAAGGCTGCAGCGACAATCAGTTTTGACTTCCAAGGAATGACCCTCTTTGGTAGTATTCTCTGTAACGAATACACTTCTAAAAATATGACTCCCTAGCCTTGACCTCTCCCCATCTCCATTCCTGTCTGAAAACAGTTAAACTTGGATCTCTAATCAGCTGAATTTCAACATTTCTAAAATTTAACTCTCTTCCCATTTCTCTTTGCAGAGGCTCTCTTTATGAATCTCTGACTCCCCAGCAGCAGCTCTGCCATCTCCACCCAGCCTACCCAGCCTCAAATCCGTCACATTTTGCTCATCCCTTCTCTGCACCCTCAGTCACCAAACGCTGTGGATCAGTCCTCTGAAGCATCTCTCCCTATGTGGATTTCTTCCTTTCTATTCCACTGTTAGCACTCAAATTCGTCAGGTTTGCCTGGCTCAACTAACTGTGTGAATATTCAAAACTTTCTTCCTTCTCCTTCATTCTTTCCACCATCATCTCGGATTAATCTTTCTAAAATGTTCTTTTCATCACAGCACTCTGCAGCTTAACACCTTTTAATGCCCCCCATCATCCACAGGAGTAATTTCCAAAGAGGGGTCTCCACATCCCACGGAGTAAGCAAGACTATCTCCTAGAACGCAAGAAGCAAATATCAGAACTCCTATTTATTTTTTGACCCATCCTGTAGAAGTTCTGTGTGTATTTTATGTGGCTAATGTATTGGCATATTTACTCATTCAACAGATTTTCACTGAGTGTCCAGTATGCACCAGGCTCTGGGGAGAGGGTAGTGAACAAAACGGATGAAAACCCCCACCCTCCCAAAGTTTACACCAGAGTGGGGGAGACAGACAACAAACAAGATGAACAATAAACAAACAACAACTACCTCTCTGTCTATGGTCGGTAGCCAGATTGTCCTTAAGGGCTGATGGAGAAAATAAAGCAGGAAAGACGAATAAGGGAGTTGGAGGGTGGAGTTGCAATTTTAAAGAGGGTGGTCAGGAAAGGACTCGCTGCGGAGGTGGCACGTGAGCAACACGGAGGTGAGGGAGTGTTCCAGGCAAGGGACTAGGAAGGGCAAAGGCTCCAGGGGAGAGGGGACCTGGCATTCAAAGGGGAAGAGGCCTGTGTGGCTGAGCAGAGCAGGCAGAGCCCAGTAGGTGACGTAAGAGGCACACTGCAGTCCCTGAAAGGAAAGGGGAAGGTATTTGGAGGGATTTGAGGGGAGAAGCGACAAACCCTAACTCCAAATCTATTGGGATCTTGACGCTGGGCGGAAATAGACTGGGGGAAGAGGGGCAAAGGGAAAAACAGAGAACCAGTTAGGGGGAAATCGCAATCACCCGATGGACCAGGCTGGTAGCCGCGCAGGTCATGAGAACTGGTCAGAATGGATATATTTTGAAGGCCGATTCTTCAAAACAGAACTTTTACATTATGCTTATAATACGTAAATAACTATGTATGAGGTTTGTGCTAAAAGCTTTGACAGGTGCACAATAGATCTGTTTGATTTACAGAATCAAGTCCAGCTCCTCACTTGCAGTCAAGTCCCTCCACGCACGCTCCTCACCTCTCTCTACTCTCAAACAGCAGCTCTTCATTCCTGAACACAGGTGCCCTCACAGTCCCCTCCCCCCTACAGGTTTATCATTCTCCATTCCAAGCTTTTGCTCATCTTCCTTCAGTCCCTTGTCCTAAACTGGAATCCCTCGTCTGTCTTCTGTCTTCCTCAAAGGGCCATCTCAGCGCTGAAACAGCCGAGGCTCCGTTGTACTACCTGCTTAACAGTTTCTTATCAAAAGCTCCCTCACTGAAATAGCGGCTCTGAATGTCCTGCTGCTTAGGTAATGCTCGCTGAAGGACTTAGAAGAGTCACCATGACTGCGATTTATTTGCAAACAGTTCAGCAAAACTGTCTGTGTGTATATGTGTACATATAGGTGTGCATGTGTACATACAGGCGTATATGTATACACACACGTATTCATGGACAAAGCAAATGTGAACGTTACCAACTATTGAATGGAGGAGCTGGTGTACAGCGCTTGTACTCCTCTTTCTACTGTGCTGTATGTTTGAAAACCTGGAGCTGACTAAACTCCTGGCACCCGTCCCGGTGCTCCAGCCCACCCCTCCCCAACACCGAGCACACAGGGAGCCCCCTGAGAAAGCCTGAAGTGTTTAGAGAATCTGTGGATTCCTAAAGAGAAGAGAGGGACATCACGGAAAACAGGACTGGTCAGCAAAGCTGGTTCCAGGCACAGACCAGGTTTTACCTGCCCTTTTCAGCTGCAAGCAAGAGCGAGCGAGAGGGGCTGGATCAGAAGAGCTCTGGCTCTGGCCCGTTCTTCTCCCTGCCTCACCCCGTTTTCTGCATTGACGCACAGGGGTCTCACAGGGAGGGGACCGAACCTCAGTCTCCCTTCTTCCCCGCTCACACAGAACCTTTACTTATCGCTTTAAAGAAGATGTTTCTAATCCTTCAAATCAGAAATGCTCTCAGAAATTAAAAATTCATCATAGTCCTTGAAGCAATTCAGCTCCGTTGTGTATTTAAAAAAAAAATTGATTTGCAGTCTTTTCAGGAGGTAAAGGGGAACTGGTACTAATATTTCCATTTTACTTGGAGGAAATGGGAACATGGAAAAGTTAACTAAACCGTCCAAGGTCACAGGGATCAGAAGCAAGGAGCAGTGTTTCTCAAAGTGTAACACAGTAACTCCTAGGAGACACTCTGTGTTTTAAGACCTGCTCAATCCTGCCAAGAGCAGGAAATGCAAGGATGGGAGTGGGGGCTGTGAATGAGACCCGGATAATATTTCACCAGCAGGTCAAATACCTGAATCATGACACTAGGGCTGGAAACGGAGGGGCTCACATAATACAGGAGGGGTTTCACAACCCTGGATAATAGTAGTGGCATCAGGCCCCAAGGCTGGGTATGGTGGACCCCAAATCAGGTGGATTGGAGCCTTTAAGAAAGGAGTGGTCAATGCCACCAGCGCATTAATAAATGCTTTTCTGAGTATGAAGGCTGGAAAGGCAGACAGTACAGTAACGAAACAGCTGAAGACAGAAACACAACAAAGAAGTACTTTGCTGTTCTCTAACTCCAGTAGGAGAAAAAAGTCTGAAGAAGTGAAATTTGGTTAATACAAATTAGTTTAATAACCCCAGAATTCTGACACTCTCCATCATCTATTATAGGTTGGAGACATGAGCACATATTACTGCTGTTACGGGGGGAGGAGAGTAAAGGAGGACCAAATGCTACCCTAGAAACTCATCTACCATTTTTCCTTTTGAAACAAATTATGATTTACTTTTAAGCTACACAGAAGTAATAGGTCTAATATAAGGTTATTCCAGAGGGCAGAAGGGGCTCAGGGCACAAAATATTAAGGAAATAATAGCCTTTTCTTCCTTTAATAAAGCTAATAGAATTATCCACTCAATAGATATGTGAGTGCCTACTGCGCAGGCAAAGCACTGTGAAGCCACCAATTAGTTTCAAAGAATAAAGCAAAAGATGGTGTTTCTGACAAACTGAGACTTCGGTCTAAGTTTCACCACCCCCCGCCCCGATCTTGTGCTGAGAAAACATGACTAAAAGGCAAAAGAGGAACCAGAAAGAGGGTGTTCCAAAGCCCCTCTGAAGATAAAGGTCTATTTCATACTACAATAAAAAGTCTACTTACAGAACAAATAAAGCTCCATTTAACAAAGAAGTCTGGGGAAAAGTGTCTTTCTTAACCCGTCGTTCTAAGAACTTGTTACACTCCCTACGCGGGCGGGAGCGCCCTCCGACAGGTATGACGCAGGGCTTTCTCAACAATACCTCCTGCTGTGCCGTAATTAATCTCGCTTTAGATCAGGCCCCAAGGACCTCCTGGCGCCCACTAGATACAAGGCCTGGGCTCAGCGTCGTTGCACAAGCTTGTCCTGTGCAACTGCGACAACATGTGGAGGCAGAGAGGGCAACTTCTGCTTTATTTATTGGATCCTTTCCTTTAAGTTTAGACAAATGAGGCCTCACTCGGGTGGAGGGGCAGGGCTAAACGGGGAAAAGTCGTCTAGGGACGAACCCCGACTTCTCCTAGGGTCGCTAAAGAGCCATTTCCGACTGCACGCTCCCCACACATGACCATGATGAGAAAAAACCCCCCTAGAACTCCTTCCCCAGCGGGTCCAGGAGGTCCCCTGAGCACACTTGGGCCGGGGACACTGACGCTGCTGCGACCACGAAGTCGGGGTGCCGCACGGGGGTCGGGGCCTGACTCTAGAGTGGGGGCCACGCCAGCAAGGTCGCCCCCGCCCCCGGCCGGCCGGTCCTCCCCGCGCGTCCCTCGCACACTCACCCCCGGTTGGGACCCTTAGGGATGAACCAGGGCACCAAGAAGCCGACGAAGCCCCAGAAGACGCTCATCACGATGAGAGGCACCGTGAGGCCGCTGTACGCCATGGTCGCTGCCCCAGCCGCCAGCCCCTGCCCGGCGGCCTCACTCCGGTCCCACCCGGAAGTGTCAACACCGGGCCGCGTGACCTGCGCGCGCAAGGCCCCGCCTCCCGCGCCCCACGTGACCCGAGCGCCGACTCCACCCCCGGCGCTGAGAGACAGAGCCCCGCCCCCACCTGGCCGGTCTCGGGTCTGCAGCTCCTTCGGGGGACGTCGCTCATCCCCGAGCGCCGGAGCTAAGGGTCAAGTCATGGGGGACTCAGCAAAGTTTTCTGATAAGAACATGGCCCTTTTAGTAAGAGAATGTAGTTATTTACAGCTTTATCGTCTTTTTATGCAACAGACAGATATGGAGAACTTATCAATAGTTAAGTTACTCTCCTGAATTCCTGTATGTCAGGCACTGGGCTGTGAGCTTGAAGTGCTGGAGCTGATCGAACACTTCACTACAGCCTATGAGGTAGTTATAATTATTATCCCCACTTTGCAGTTGCAAAAAACAGGCCTAGGGAGGAGGTCGAGGATCTTGCCCACAGTCACACAGCTAGTTAGTGGTAGAGCCAGGATTCAACCTGAGGGTGTGATATTCCAGATCAGTGCTCTTACTACTACACTACTGTATATTTTGTGCACTGTGCCAGGTTCTGGGGTTACAGAAATCAATGAGATCCCCCTCGGAGTTCACAGGCTGGTGAGGAGATGGACTCGCCACCAGGCCGCTGAGTGCAGTGTGAAGGTAGAGTGGACCAGAGTGCACAGCTTCCCACCCCAGCCGGTCCTGAGCTGAGCCTTGAAAGCAGTAGAAGTTAACCAGAGTAGTAAGGAAAAGGTAAACATGACATTTCTAATGCTTGCCAAGGATTTTCGCACATGTTAATGATAGTTTGTGACAACCTTGAAACAGAGGAGGAAACCAAATCTCAGGTTAGGAGCTTGATAAAGCTCACCGACAGAAGCAAGATGGAAACATCTATAAACTAAATGCAGCGTGCTTTACCATGGACTGCAGTGTCCCTGCGATAGTCACATTTCCTTACCTTGAATGACTTCTTGATTTCTTTCTTCACCAATAGGATGGATTCCTGGATTAAATGAGAAGTTGGACTAATAATCTTTAACATCTGTAGCGACTCTTAAACATGATTCCAAGCCTTTACTGACCAACAAGGTGGGAAACTAGTCATCTTTGCGCTCATACTGCTGCCCCAAAGACTCAGCGTCCGCAGAAATTCCATTGTCCTTAAGTTCCAGTCCAAGCCCTGCCGTTTCCAAGGCCTGTTTCACCCCGTTCATGCGTCTCCTGTGTCCTTGTACTGATGTGTGTGTGTGTATCTTAACCAACCCTCTACCAGAGGGCAAACTCCTTGAGAACAGGCACTGTTTTAACTGATCTCTGCTCCTTAGGAGCACTTTATACATAAAATGTCCTCAATAAACACATGTACAACTGAATTGAATAGTTAAGAAAGGGTGAGACCAGCCAGAGCTAAATTAGAGAAAATAGTTTGCTCCTGCTTTCTTCCCATTCCTTTTTTTAAATTTATTTTTAATTGTGGTAAAATATACATACAATAAAATTGACCATCTTAACCATTTTTAAGTGTACTGTCCAGTAGTGTTAAATATATTCATATATGCACCTAATGTCAGAACTTTTCATACCCACTAAGCAACCACCATTCTTCCTTCCCCTAGCACCTGGCAACCACCATTCTACTTTCTGTTTCTGTAAGCCTGACTATTCTAGATTCCTGGTATAAGTGGAATCATACGGCATTTGTCTTTTTGTGGCCGGCTTAGTTCACTTAGCATAATGTCCTCAAGGTTCATCCATGTTGTAGCGTGTGTCAGAATTTCCTGCCTTTTTAAGGCCTAACAATATTCCACTGTATGATATACCACATTTCGTTTCTCCATTCATCTGTCAATGGATATTTGGGTTGCTTCCACCTTTTGGTTATTGTGAATTTTTTCCCGTTTCTTAAATAAATGCAAATATTTGAAGTTGATCTAAGTTAAGTCTAACTTTTGTTTCACCGTCTCAGCAGCATCTTTGAGATGTTAGGGAGCACAGGGATGATACCAGTTCTGTCTAAATCTGTTCCATCCTCTGGGAAATGAGAAAAATCCTGAATCTCAGTGTTATATTTCTGGGCTGGTATTGGTCAATAGCTCCCTCTATCAGTCAGCCTGTCAAAAACATTTTATCACATGGCCCAAATGAAAACTGGGAGAGAAGGAGAGAAACTGGGATTCAGTGGCCCACCGAATGGAGAAATATTCTTTGTCTTCAAGGCACTCAAAGTCTACTTCAGGAAATAAATCCGAGTCTGGGCAGTGTGCTCCGCGGACCCCTGGGGAGTCCCTGACTCTCCCAGCAAGGCTGTGAGGGCCTCCTTTTCTACCTACCAATCTGTGTGAGGCTGAGTTTTCTTCCTGTGCTTCCCTCAAAACAACATATTGCAACAGACTGAAGGCAGAAGCATTATAAGAATCCATCTGTCTTCTATCAAGCCAGACATTAAGGAATTTTATAAAAATGTAATGCATCACTCTTCTTGCTACATTTTTTGTTTTGTTTTGGAAAAGATGGTTATTTTCCATAAAAATGTTATTTCTAGGGGAGTGGCCCGGTAGTGTGGTCAAGTTCACATGCTCCACTTTGGTGGCCTGGGGTTTGTGGGTTCAGATCCAGGGTGCAGACCTACACAGCATGGCCACCAACAAGTGGTGTAGATCCATGCCCAGGAACCGAACCAGGGCCGCCAAAGCAGAGCGTCCCAAACCGAACTAGGCCACTAGGCCACAGGGCTGGCCCCAAGACTAGCTGTTTTAACTGACAAACTGGGATTTGAATGTCAGTCTTCATAGCTCCCATTCTTCCCACAAAACCATGCTGCCTCTCCTATTTCAAGTAGTAAGTCAACAAAAAACCCTAAGTTATGCACTACTTAACAAGAAGAGACCTTAGAAAACCTGCTCTAGACTCAGCTGCCTTCCTACTAGTGACAGGCTAGGGCGTGGCTGATTTCATTATTTCTGATGGACAAAGAATATTTTATTTATTATTTGTGTGCACTTATACTGTAATTATGGCATTCAGGCAATAAACCAATCTTATATAGTTGTTTAAATTTGAACGATGTGCTTTCCTCACAAAGACTTCTTCATGGGTCAAACTTTTAGAGAACACCCGATCCTATATGCATAGACCATTTCTGGGAGGATACAAAAGAAGCTGGGAACAGGGACTGCTTCTGGGGAGAACGGAGTGACTAAGAGTCAAGGTGACAAGGAAACTTAGTTTTCACTGTATGCCATTTTTAGGTTGTACCATATATAAGTGTCACTAATATTAAAAACCCCCTAATTTAAAAGAACGGTGGATAAAGACCGGAGCCACCAGCAGATGGGAACTGCTCACTGCCTGCAGCAGCAGCGGAGTGTGGCGGACTCCGGGTTAGAGTTTTGTCTGGGTCCCGGAAGATTCAATTCCTTGCCTGCCCAGCTCACACTGAACGCTCTGTGCTGAGCACCTCATGCCTGAGCGCCATATGAAAGCAGACATTCAGAAGCAGTTATCTGAGGTTAAAAAGTTTGGAGTCTTCCCAAAATAGCACAAGGGGACTCACTCAAGTGAATGGACCTCTGCAAATTTGATGAAAAGGTCAGTAGGAAACTGCTTAATTCAGTCATTCCAGGAAACATGTTCAAACCCCAGGGCCTGAAGCTTGACAAGCAGGCCCACCCTCTGGCATTCTCCAGTTCCCATTTCCTTCACAGCCCAAACACAATACTGCTGCCCTTAAATCCTTCCCTTCATTCAAGAACCAGCATTTGTCTGAACTCCCTTCAGAAACACTTCTCCCTCTGTTCTTGCAAGCAAACCCACTGCCAATCTCCTCTGAAAGACAATAGCTAGAATTTGCTGAGCTCTCTGTGCTTTATATGCACTATCTCAAGCAATAAGTCTGACAACTCCATGAGGTAGGTACTCTTTTTATCTCCACTTTAATAAATGACAAAACTGAGGCCCAGAAAGGTTAAGTAATTTGCCCAAGGTCACACAGCTAAGAACTGATAGAGCTGGGATCAGAACTCACATTTGATGCTGAGTTCCTGCTCTTGATCATGCACCAGTATTCACATGGCTTGGTATAAGCAGTCTCGTATGACTGGATGCCTGTGGGGGGATTACAGTTCTCAAAGCTCTTATCTATCACTTAGATTGAACAAGTCGCTGAAAACAAGTCAAGTCTGACTCCTAGGAAACATTGTAATTTAAATTCACTGATGAGAGTAACAGCTGGAGCCTAGGGCCAGACCAGGCATCAGAATATGTTATCCTTACTGTAAATTTAATCTAGTATAAAATCTTTTATGCAAATTTTGGGGTCCTAAAACACTTTGGTGGAGAATAAAGACAAAACTCGTTAGAAAAAGCAAACTACACACCTTGCTGGTTGACCCACTCCTTTTCCTCACTAGACATACAGCTCAGCATGCTAATGCTAACAAAGCACCCTGTGTGGCCCACCTACTCTATTTTATGTGCTGTATATATACTTTCCTACATCCATTTCCACAATTCCCCAAACTTACCCGGTCGTAAGCATCACATGAGAGCTGTGTGAGAAATACACATGCACATGAGACCTGAAGAGGTCTCTCTTCAGACCTCCTGCATCACAGAATCTCCAGGCAAGGGGCGGAGACTAACATGAGCCAGCACCAGGTGACTCCTCCAATCAGGCGAGTTGGGTGGACTGTCACTTTAACTTTCACAGCCTTGAAGATAAGCATTTTTAGCTTCTTACCTCGGTAGGGAAACAGAGGTTCCTAACAATGACTGCCCAAGAGCAGGATGTGAACCCAGACCCATCTGGCTCCAGAGACAGGACAGTATTGTTCTGCCTACTCTTAAATCAATGCCAAAAAGTCAGAGAATGTAGATCAAATTTTGTGGTTTGCGATCCCTTTGATTTCTTTTGTGAAAAATCATGACCTCTTTGAGTGCAGAATGAATGTCAGAATTGGAGATACAAGTGAACTGAACAATAATAGTGCTATAAGCATTCGCATAGTCACAGCTTTCAGAGGGCTCAGAAACAGCCCCCTGACCCTGACGCTTTCCATGAGACAGGAAGGCAGTGCAGGTATTACCGTGTTTTACTACTTAGAAAACGGAAGCTCGGAGATGAGTGATTTGCTCAAAGGCTTATGATCGTCCAGTGGCAGAGCTGGGACTGGAGCTTAACCGCTGGTGACGATGCTTTTCCCACTAAGCAGTACTACTGCTGCAAATACACAGGTTCTTCTGTTCCATACAAACGTCCAGTCTCTTATCAGACTCCAATACAGGGCTGACAGTGAGGGAACACCGGCAACAGCTGGCTAAGGTGGGAAGCGGTTCAAATCCTGGCTCCATCTCATGTTCTCTGAATTTGGACAATTGACCTAAGCTCATTTTCTTCATCAGTCAAAATGGGAAATAACTCTGATTTAGTCAACATTTGAGACACTCGTGTGTCAGATAAGCTCCGTGTTACTAGAGAGCCATAAAAAGCTCAGTTTGATCTATTTTAGATTATTTATCACAGAGGCAAGGGAAGATTACAGATGTGGCTCTGGAGCTAAATCTTGAAGAGTAACTACAAGTTTGACCTGGAGTCTAAAACTCAGATGCCAGCAGGGGCCAGGCAACAAGGTTACACAAGCGGAGAGCGCAGACTAGGGTGCAGCCAGCCCCTGGCTCCATACAACCGACACTGTGCAGGATCAAGACCCCACGCGGCCAGATGAAGCCATCTGGATTTCTCTGTGGAATCCCCCAAGTTTTAAATGTTGGAAATTGACTTTTTTTTTTTTAATTGTGAAAACAACAGAAAGACAAACAGTATCTGTCTGATATCACCTACTGGCCATGGGTTTCCTGAGTTAGCCTCAGGAGTAGGGAGGGGCATTTCAGTCACATGGAAACGGCACTTGCAAAGTCAACATCTTGGGAAGGGCAGCCTGGTCAGGGAGCTGCACACTATTTGGCTTGGTTGGAGCAAAAAGGAGAAGCTGGCCAGAGAGCAATCTGTCAGGCCTGAGACGTGGCTGTGAAAAGCAGCACCATTGCTCAGTGGGGCCTCTGTGCGTGCCAGTTCACAACATGACCTCCACTGAGTGGGACGAACCCCTGCATCAGGGACCAGAGCCCTGGCCTGTCCATCCATCAGCATGAGGGCCAGGCTGGAGCAGGGCTGTCCTACCACTGCCATTTGCTGCTCTGCAGATGAAATGTATGAAAGACCGGCAATCGGGAACCGATAACACGACGGATTGTGTCTAGAATACAATGCGAATTCCACTTGTAATTGGGAAGCAGTTCCAATTTTTATTCATAAAATTATTAATCAAAACAGTAAAAGTAGATTTACAGAGTCACATATCAACAACAAAACAGGAAGGAAACAAAATGTTCCAGAGACACTCTGAAAAGTTTCAAAGGAATACAGACCAGAACAAAAACCTATTAGTTACACCACAGCTACAGAACAGGCTATATTCACTCCTGCATTTTCTCAATAAGTTCTTCCTTATATTTGCCTTTCTCTTTTCCAACTTGTCGAGATTTGGCTTTGCGTTCAAGAATTGTTTTCCGATCTTTGTCTAGTTTTAATCTGGTGATAGCCACCTGTTGGGAGTGGGAAGACAGATGTTAGCTTTTCCAAGTGGAAAGGCTCTCTAACGCTTACTTTGCACAGCAGAGCCTCCCTCGACTACAGCAGCTTGAGGTCGTTCTTCTGCCAGCCAGACTCCCTGACCCCTGAGGAGTCAGATAAGTCTAGTGATATGAAATCTCATTTAGGTTGGAAAAATCGTATTACTAACATGTTTCTGGTTTGTCTATTATCTCTTGGGAGGCAAAACGCATTGTTTAAAAAACACCTGCATTCCCACCAGTTACTGGGCAATACAGTGATTGTAAGGCTAAGTAAGACCCCAACCATTCTCCCCTCGAGGATCTGAAACTCTGGAGGAGGGAGAGCCTACAAGACAGTGCATAAACTGGGAGTGCGAGGGAGGAACAGCTCATTCCATAGGTGGGTGTGAGGGCCAAAGAAAGAGATGCTCTCTCGCCTCCCTCTGGACATAATCTAGTGTGGAAGTGATGCCTGAAGGCCTGGCACTCTCTTGCCACCTGCTTGAAGAGGGAGCCTTCGCCAAGGCTAACAAAACAGACCGGGAGAGAATCTGGATCCTCCATGATATAATTAAGCCAGTGAATCAGTCAAGCCTGCCTGACCCCTCTCTGGAAGCCCATGCCAGGGCCACCTGTGTCAACAGGACCAACACGTCGATACCTTGCTTGGGTGAATGCCCACGTGGACGGTCGTGCCATTTGCCTTCTCCCGCTGCACCCGCTCGATGTAGATGACATATTTCTTCCTGTACACCTGGACTACCTTGCCAATTTGCTGACCTTTGTAGTGTCCTCGAACCACCTAAGAGGAAATGCAAAAGAGAATTCCCCCATTTCTAACGCATGACTATCATAGCGAGGAAATTGATCACCAGGAACACACATGCTAACACATAACTTTTTCCACAAAAGCAGGTTAATCCTGGCAGTCAAGTCAGCTATTTTTTGGGTATAAATCTGCTTTGTGTTATTCTAAGTCAGGTGGAAATTCACCTGAATTTTTTTCTTCTCTTATCTGAAAAACAAAATGTTCCTTGAATTAGGATAGCCATCAGAGAACAAGTCCTGAGAATTAAAAAATATAATTACTGTACATCTGAAACTAATACAAAGTTATATGTCTATTATATCTCAAAAATAAATAAATATGGGGCTGGCCCGGTGGCACAGTGGTTAAGTCCGTGTGTTCCACTTTGGTGGCCCAGGGTTTGGATCCTGGGCGTGGACCTACACACCACTCATCAAGCCATGCTGTGGTGGCATCCCACATACAAAATAGAGGAAGATGGGCACAGATGTTACTTGAGGGCCAATCTGCCTCACCAGAAAATAAACAAACAGATAAATAAAATTTAAGAAAGAAAAAATATTATTCTCAAGATCTAAATAAAGAATGGTTAAAGACATTATACTCAGACTCTCATGTAAGCATTTAAAATCCTATTTTCAAAAAGTAACTTATGACCTATGAAAATGCTCAAGATATGATCTTTAGAGAAAAAAGGAGAATACAAAGCTATATATAGAATATAGTCTGAATCTTGTGTGTATGTGTTTCATATATGTGGCATATAACACGATGGGATGGAAATATATCCAAATGTCAATAATGGTTGCTATTAGGCACGAAGTAGGGTTACAGATGATTATTTTTCTAATTTATATTCTTCCAAATTTCAATATTTCTAAAATTAACACAAATATTTTATAGCCAGAAAAAAATTAAAATGTCAAATTAAAATCTAATGGGTTGAGCCAGCCCGATGGTCCAGTGGCTAAAGTTTGGCACCCTCACTGCTTCGGAGGCTGGGGTTCGTTTCCCAGTCACAGGACCACCCCACCCATCTGTCAGTTGCCATGCTGTGACAGTTGTTACACAGAAGAACCAGAAGGACTTACAACCAGGATATACAGCCATGCGCTAGGGCTTTGAGGGGGGGTGGGGGGAAGAGGAAGACTGGCCAGACTTTAGCTCAGGGCAAAGCCTTCCCTACCAAAAAAAAAAAAAAAAAAAAATCGAATGGATTGTTTTTGCGTATGTACTAAAAATCCGCTCATGTTCCAACTGTGTTAGAAAACCAACTAGATTATGGCTTCCCTGAAGACAAGACCCTTCTAAATAGCTGACACAATGCAGGTGATGTTGATTAATAAGCAGAGAGGAAGTACCACATATAGGGAAATGGCGAATCTCAATGCTCCTAAAAGTACCTAGATTGCCCAGCTTACTCACTGAGGCAATTTTCAGGTTGAAAAGAGAACAGCCAGGCCTCACTGAAAATCTACCACCCTCTGTATCACCAGAGACTCTCATGCAGAAAAATCTGTGAAAAGACCCTATTACGTATCCTCAAGACTGAAGAAAGACGTTAGTAAAACAACTCTAAAGGAACAGTGGGTTAAAGAGAAGTGGACAAATGCTATACCCAGCGAGCAGGGGGATGGGATAAGACTAAATGACTTAACTGGAAAGGTGAGGGAGAAGAGGCAAGAATGATACCCAGTCCGGCTGGGCAACTGGATGGATGGATACGCCTCTGGATGTTCCATCCCAGAGGCATGGAACATTGGGGAAGAATTGGGCATTAGGAGAAAACAGTTTAGTTTGGAACACGTCGAATATGAGGCACCTAGTGACATTCTAGTGGAGAATTCCACACAGAGCCGGAAGGCCAACCAGGTCGGCCACAAAGATGTTGGAGTCATCAACAGCGACGGCAATCGAAGCCTAATTTTGCTCAGAGATCTGGTGGTATAAGAGGGCAGAATGAAGAAATCTGAGAAAGCCAACATTTTGGAAGACCTTGAGAGAGAGACTGAAGTGGCCAGAGAGAATGGGAAAATGGGGGAGCGTGGCCTTGGAGCAGCCAAGAGGGCCATGGAACGGTGAACTACAGGTGGGGTAAAGGAAAAGATGTGACAACGAGCTGGTCACTGGTGACCGTGGCTACAGTGCTCTTGGCGGAGCGGTCAGATGGAAGCCAGGGAAGTCTACAGCAAGGCGACAAGTTCACCAGAGGTGAGGAGGAGGTGGTGAGAAGACAGTCCCAAGGAGGCTGGCTCTGAAGATGATGAGAGAGACGATATATGCTTGAAAGAGATGTGAAGTTAAGGGGTCATTTTTTATTTTCAGAGAGGGGAAAACCTGAATGTGTCTAAATGCTGACGAGAAGGGACAAGTATGGAGGAAAAGTTAAAGCAAACCATGGAGCACAGGGATAACGGATAGAAGGATCTCAAGGGGAGAGGAGAGAGTGGAGGACCGCAGCATATGACAGATGGACCAGCCCTAGAGAAAGAGCGGCATCTCTTTCATTGTAACAGGAGAGAAGAAAGACGGAGGGGCGAACTGCAGGTAAATCAAGCTATGGAGCCAGGAGTTCTGAAAGTTCCTGGATGATAGCTTTAATTTCCTCTGTAAACAGGAGAATAGTGACTGCTCAGACAAAGAGGTGAAATTCAGAAGAACCCAAATGGGACTATTTCATTCTCCTGGTGGACACGTGTTTATCCAGTACAGCCTTTGGAGTCAGACCTGGGTTCACTCATTTTCTGTATTATTTCTTCAATATTTAACCCGAATTTCAGTTTTTTCATATCTAAAAAGGAAACAATTCCTACCTCATAGGCATTCAAAAATGGCAGCTCCTTCTCCCCTACCCTCCTTTTCTTTACCTCACCTTCCAATTCTATCCGGTCAATAATTTTTAATTCATCCAACAAATATTGACTGTGCCCCTGCTGTATGCCAGGCTCTATAATGAGGTCAGGCAACAAAAAAGAGAAGTTCTCTGGCATCATGGGGCTTACTCTGATGGGTAGTAGGCAGATAACAAGTAAACATGCAAATATATGATCACTAACTGGAATATGGCACATGGGATCTTCCCAGGATGATAAAAACAGTCCATGTCATAATTAGGATGATGGCTACACATGACAAAACTCACCTGTGCCTTTTACTGTTCGTACATCATGCCTTTTTTTCTTTAAAAAAAAAAGATCTCAAACTGTGCTCATTGTTATGAAGGAAAAATAAAGGATGCTATGCTGTAACGTGATTGAAGGATCTGGGAAGGCCTTTCTGAGGAAGTGATATTTAAGATAAGACCTGAAAAATGAGGAGCTAGTCAGGGAAAGGGCAAAAGGAAGAGCCTTCTACACAGAAGCAGCATTCTGGGCGAAGACACACAGAGGGAAAACAGATCAAGGTGCATTTAAAGACCGGAAAAGGCCAGGGGGTCTGGACTACAGAGCACGTGGGAGATAACAGGGTGAGATGAGGCTGGAGACGCAGACCAGGACTGGGTCACCCGGGGCCTTGTTGTCAACGCTTTTAGATTTTACAATAAGCACACCAAGGACCACTGATAGATTTTAAGCAGGATCTGATTTGCAAATAATAGCCCTCTGTGGAGAATGCCTGAGAAGGGTAAGAGTGGAAGCTGGAGAGCCTTGAACTAAACTGGAAATGTAAAGAACTGGTCAGATTCAAGACTCATCTCAGAGGCAGAATCAGTAAGACTCAGTGATAGCCTAGAAGAGGCGGTTAGGGAGAGGGTTGTTAAGGATAACTGAAAGGTTTATGGCACATGCAGGTGGAGAAGTGTTGCTTATCGAGGTGTGGAAGACAGAGGAGAACCCGATTACAGAGGAGTAGGAGGGCTAGGATCAAGAGTACTCCCGTATAAGAAATTTGAGATGGCTACAAGATACCTAACTAAGGATGTTCAGCAGGCAGACAGATCTACAGGTCTACGCTCAGGAAAGTGGTCTGGACTGGGATAGAAAAGAGGGAGTTGTTAGCACAGTGCAGACCTTTAAAGCTCCGGAACAGATATCATCTCCCTGGTAGACAATGTAGGCAAGATGAGATGTTAGACCAGGTGCAGGCCCTGACAAACTCCAGCATTTGGGGATCAGACGGAGGAGAAAGCCAGCAAAGGAGCCTGAGCCTGAACCATCTCAGAAGCCAAAGAGAGAGACTATTTCAATAAGTAAGGTGGAGCCACCTGTGCCAAATGCTGCTGGAAAGGTCAAGGAGGATGAGACCAAGATGTGTCCACTGGATTTAGTCGTAAAGAGGTGACTGGTGACGTCAGGCAGAAGCAGTTCCTATAAGGTAGTGAGACAGAGATCAGTCTAGAGAAGATCTTAGAGTGAGTGGCAGGGGAGGAAGGGCAGACAACTTTTTGGAGGCGGCTCGCCATACAGGTGGCACAGAGAATAGTAACTAGAAGAAAATGTGGGGCTGGGAAGAGAATCTAAATTTTCCACTTCTCTTGAAAAATCAAAGAATTTGACAACAATGAGCTTGCATTTCCCTAAGGCAGCAATGGGCTGAAGTACAAACTATCTCCTTTAAAGGCGGATGAGCTCTCCAGTTGCCATTTTCTGGTCATCAGCTCATTTGTCTTATTTAATTTGCCTAACTAGCCCTGATACACATTTGCAATTCCTCCATTTTAGAACATTCTGATGGGAAGGATCCAGGAGAGAAGTTCAAACTGTTGATCACACCTCTGAACTACTCTTCCTACTCTTTCCTGTCACACCCTCTGCTTCCAATCTTCCTCTAAAAGTGCTCCTCACACCTTCAAAAAGTCTCAATGCCTTAGATGATCCACAATCTCCCTTGGCCTTATCGCATCTCATTCTCTAAAACAATGGTTCACAACTAGGGGAGGTGTGGCAGACAGGGGGATTTTGCCCCCCAAGGCATTTGCATTTGCCAATAACTGGAAATTTTTTGCTTGTCACAACTGTGAGGAGTACTACTGGCATCTAGTGGGGAGAGGCCAGGGATGCTGCCAAACATCCTACAATGCACAAGAGAGCTCCCCACAACGTAGAATTATCCAGTCCAGGACGTCGGCACTGCTGAGGCTGGGAAACCCTACTCTAAAATGCGAGCTCTGTGATAACAGGAGCCTTGTCAGTCTCGTTCACTGCTAGTGTCTAGAACAGTGCGTGATAAGCGCTCAGTAAATATTCCTTCAATTTGGGAATCTAGCCCCTGCCTATTTCCCTCACCCCCTACCCGCCACTCCCCTTTCCCGACCAGACATCCCGGGATCCAGTCAGGGAGAACAGAGAGCTTACACTCTCTCACAGGGGCCATGCGCTTTCATACTTCCATGCCTCTGACTTGCTGCTGCTTCTCCATCCTCTCTGCCAAGCTCAGGACCGTCCAACGCCCACACTCCACTAAAGCCAACGATACTGCACACCGCTCTTACCACAGCACCATCCCCTGCAGATTCGAGGTCAAAGAGCCACCCTGAGCCATACCTGGGAAACCAGCGCCCCAGCAAGCTAGCAGCTAAATCCAAGGCAGAGTTTTGCTTAGCTGGCATACTGTTTTTAAAGAAATTATGATGAAAAAACTGAACTTGAACGCTCCTAATGAAGCTGGGCAGGCACTCCCTGCTGGCTCTGGGGCCCAGCTTCGGTCGAACACATCTGCAGGTCACGTTCCTTGCCAGGGTCCTGAGGGCACGTGAGTCTCCGAGGTCCAAGCATACACAACGTCCTCAGGCCAAAGCGGCGCCCGAGCGCCACGCGGCTGGGCAACCAGGGCCGAGGGAGACGTACCTGGACCTCGTCGTCCTTGCGGATGGGCATGGAGCGCACGTTATACTTCTGCCGCAGCTCCTTGGAGAGCGGCGACGACATGATCTTCCTGCGCACGTGCGAGGGGGCGTTGAAGTGGCGTTTGCGGTTTTTGCTGCGGTCCGAGGTCACGAAGGGGTTGAACTTCATGGTGACCGTCTGCACAGAGAGGAGCGAAGGGGCGCTCGGTGGGGTCGCAGGGCTTGCTCTCCACCCAGGACACTCCTCCCTACCCCTGCGCAAGCGCTCTACGGAGGCGGCCGCCTCGGAAGAAGGCGACCGAGGGGGAAGCGGGGATGTGAGGGGTCTAGGGGATACCAGGACGCGTGCGTGCGGGCGTGGGGAGAGGGCGGCACCGGGCCTTGAGGCTGGCCGGGGGAGGAAGGCTCGGGCTGGAGAAGGAGGCACGGTCAGGGGCCAAGCGGAGATCTGGGGAGGCGGGGACCCCGCAGCACGTGGGGAAGGGTCCTGTGGGGCGGAGGGCGTCACATGCGGAGAAAACACTAACTTCCACTCACCTACCTGGCGCTGCGAGGCTCAGAAGGTGCGCGCGCAGGGCCGGAAGTGAGGCGTCCCTGCCGCGCAAGCGTAGAAAGGAAGCGGTGCCCCATTTCCGCAGGAAGCAAACTGAATGGCGCCCCCCGCGGCTTGGGGTGGAATCGCAGTGCCCCGTTCCGAGAGGTCCCCCGGCGCTACCACGAGGCGTTGGCATCGCTGGGGAGAAGGGGCGTCCTTCTGTAGGGCCTGCGACAGAAGCTTATTGACGTCTTTTTTCTAGGTACACCAATAGTCTCTTTGCTATCCCGAACTCTTTCTTTGCTTCCGTTCCCCTCCACAGAGGTCTTTCAACATCATGACGATCCAAATGCAATCTGCAGACTTGCTTCTGCAAAATCACGGAGGAGCCTAATCAAAACGCAGATTTTCGTGCTCCGTCGTAGTCCTACAAGACCAAGACAGTGGTAGGTCGAGGTCAGGATTCTGAATTTAAAGCAAGAACCATCCCCCAAAGATTTTGAAGGTGCACCCGTGTTTGAGGATAGTTTCGAACCAAGCACTTCGTCTTGCAAAACTTGCCCGTAGTTTTTCAGTCCTGTTGCTAAGAGCTGGGTTGTAGAGTCAGACCTGGACCCAAGCGCCTCTTCACGTTGCTGGACCGTGGAGAGATGTCTGCTTGTTTCTGAGCCTGTTTGCTCATCTGTGAAATGGGGATGATCTTAGTAGGTGCCTCACAGAGTTGTTACGAGAATTAAGGGGCTCCTTGTCGAGTGTTAAGAACAGTGTCTGGCACATAGCGGTCAATCACGGTCAGCCATTTTTCCTAATAAAAGCAGAGGCCTATGAGTGCGGCTTGCTCTAGGGCAGCCCTAAGGCCGGCCTCACACTCACCAGAGTTCCCCCATTCAGACTTTTCCCATTAGCTCTCCGGAGGGAAAGTGTAGGCTTTCCGTGTTTGAAGAAACACGTGCCATGCGCCAGGCTGGCTGGAGCTCTGGTTGTGCT